CACGGCTATCAACTTTGGTAACAGAAAACGAGCAAGAATTGTGACTGTAGACCCAGAAATTAATAAAGATTCTTCAAAATGTCACATTGCAAAATTCAGTTGATCTCAGATTCTGTTGGTCGCGTGAACCTTTTCACATATGTTTATTGCCATATCATTGTTCAATAGAATAAACATTACATTTCACATTCAACAGTTTTTTTTCTGCTTTTTGTATTGTAAAGAATAATCGAGCAATACTATCCAGACCAGGGGCGTATTTAGAAAATGCACGAAGAGGGAGGGGAGGGACAAAATTGAGGTGTTCTCCGAGGCGACGTCCGAAGCTAATTGAGGCTCGGGGTTGCAAGAGGTCCGCAGAAGATTCAACGGATTCAGATGGCCGTGTTTAGACAGCTTAGAGGGTTTAATGTTCACAAATACAGGAAATGTTGACCATTTTGGATTGCGGGAACGATCAAAGAAAATTATTTGAGGACTTTCAGTATATAAGTCTTCCTATCCTGAAAAAGTTTGATATGAGAAATTTCTAGGTTTAAGCCCATTTTGCATTTTGACTTTCTGTCATAAGCGGCGAGTGAGACAAAACTTCAGGAGGCTGTAAAAAATATTTCCGCAAGCCAGAATCATGGGGGAAATTTTTCTGGAGTCCACCTAACTATACTCTATCAGAAAAACCAAGAATCATTCATGTTTCATTTTTTTTTCCATAAACCTGACTTTTTGGAGTAATTCTATTCGACTATATTTCTAAATGCAATAGAAACCCTAAAAGTACGTTGTTGTAAAAACTTGGCAGACGAGTTTCAATCACATTGACAAAGACTTGAACTTCCTTGTTTAGTTATATAATATACAACCGTAATCAGATTCTTGTGCATTAGTTTTACATTATAAAATGAACAGGGCGTGCATTCCAGTTGTTGTTTGATTTTGGAAAACGGAAAGTAAATTTGGAGGAATAATCGTACGAGAATAGTTTGTCAGTGATAGGGTAAGGTTTTTTCCTCAATTAATCAGCAGGCTAATTGAATGACAATTCAAAAAACATTGTTCAAACTGTGTAAAATATAGAGG